AGATAGATAGATAGATAGAATAAACGAGCCATTATGATATTCAAAAATATTTTATTTTGAAAACATAATCTCAAGTCTATTAGACAACGATAATACATTATATTTACATAAATATCAGTGCTTTATTCGTTGTTTTATTCGCTCAGTAACACTTCGTCTCATTCTCTGTTTGTCTCTCACTGAATCTGACATTTTTCCAGCGCTTTGCCGGGCTTTCTTCCCGTATTTGGCCCGATAACTTGTCGGAGATCCGTGCTAAAACTCGGCCGACGAGCCAGTGGATGCAGGGCGCCGCAGGCGTCATCGCGCCCCGGCGTCTGGCCCCCTCTCCCCGCCACACGGCCAGTCCGCATGGCCTGGTAGGAACGGAGGGAGACCTTGCGATGCTGAGACGGGCCAGTTTCGGTCGGAAGCCCGCCTCGCTTTGCCAAAGTCTCGAAGACTTTCTCCAGATTTGTGCTGTCCTTTGCAGACGTTTCAAAATAGGCACAGTCATCACCGAGGACTCGGAGTACCTCCGCCTTGGATATTCCTCTCTCAGACTGCAGGAGATCCACCTTGTTGGCGCAGACCACCAGGGGAATCTGCAGCTGTGCGCACTGCTCTGGCACAGGGGGTTTGATTAGCTTGGATTTAGCGGCCAGGATCTCCGTTCGCAGGGCGCAAACCTCTTCGAAAGAGCCCCGGTCATCTAGACTGAATACCAGAAGAAAAATGTCTCCTGCAAAAATATTCAAATGGAAAATAAATCATTTATTTCCCTCTAATGGTTGATTTAAGCATACACATGCACTCTTCAAGAGAGAGAATTATGCATTTACGCATGCACCCATAACCTGCCCTTTCTGGTCTATTATTCGTCTGTTATGACAAATAAAAAACTGACACGTTTTTGCAGGACAGAGATTATGACTGAGCCAATACGCACCAGTGAGGATAGACAGCCGCCGCTTGGCTGGGAAATCCCTTTCCCTGGACGCGTCCAGGATGTCAATTTGGTAGGTCTCTCCGCGGATACGAAACAGCTTTCGGAGGAAATCCTCGGAGGTGGGATTGTACTCCTCCACAAAGCCGTCCCGAAGGTATCTTCTTAGGATGGAGGTCTTGCCGACTCGTGGCGCACCAAGAACCACAATGCGCTTACAGTTCTGCGGCTTGGTAGAAGTAAGAGGGTGCTCTTGGCCCACCTGGCGCTGCCTCGTTTGACCGTGGAGGACCAGAGTTGCCAGCTGATCCAGTGGGGATCTCTTGCAGGGATATGTGGTGTTTGCAGTGGACAGCTGCCTTACGGTTGCCCCGGAGCGCGTCTTCTTCTCCTGTTTCCACTGAGACGTCGCCACTTTAAGTAAGCCCAAGCCCGCTTTAAGTCCCGACGAACTCAGGTGCTGCGACGCGTTTTTGTAAGCCAGTAAGACTTTGGAGGATCCGGCGCACTGCCCGTCCATATTACCATGAAACTGGGGGCCATCCATGGTGGAGCAGCTGAGCTGGTGCGGAACAGGGATGGAGGTGGTTTGTGCGCCGGTGGAGATGCTGCCCATTTCCATCGATGTAGGATGATTTTGGCCCTTGGTTCCGAGCAACAAAGTGGGCACAATCTGTGATCTGACGTTTTATAGGCCTGCTGGAGCTGGTCTTTGGCTGATGTCAGCTTTCTTTATATAGGCTATCCTCAACCCCGTGGTTCATCCGCGTCATGCTGATTGACAGAAGGAGTAGTTGTGTTCTTCAGGAGAACACCATGTTTTCAGGAAACATAATGTGTATTTATTATTATTATTATTATTATTATTATTATTATTATTATATTGTTATTATCGTTATAATAAT